AAAAAAAAAAAAAGGATATGGTGTGGAAAAACCCAGCGAAGGTGGTGGAGGATATTGGATGTAGATTGGCACTTGAAATTGGGGGGGGGCCTGTGGATTGGGAAAGTTCCGTTCTCCGTCGAGGTAAGGATGGTTCCATGAGGCGACAGGGGGGGAAACTAGCCTGGTCGTTTGAGGTCTGGTAGACTCTAACTTCTGCGCTGGTGTAATGCCCGACTCTTGATACAACTGTATGGCCAGAAGGGGGGAAAAAGGGAGAGATGGGAGGGGAGAACATAGTGAGAGGGGACACTCAGGACAGGGAACAACAGACAACAATACACATATAAGAACAGATGGTGGAAAAATTCCACAACATGCTCGGAACATTGGGGGGATGGGACTAAGGTCCCCATTGGGGGGATGGCACTACAGTTCTGTAGGTTCCTCAGAACTGTAGTCCTCTGCTTAGCGAGGATTCATCCATGGAGGGTCAGTATAGTCAGATGAGGACTCAGTGAATCGTCGTGCAAGCAGGTAGGACCGGTACCGGCAGTAACGATGGGAGGCAGTCTTAAGTAGAGGATGTGGATTCTCAGGGACTGAAATGATATAAGTGGCCACAAACAGCAACTAGTGGCGGGGAGTGACCACCTCAACAGGGGGTAGTAAGTTAGAACAAGCCCTGGAAAGGTGTCGTGGTTATTCAGCGCGGCGAGGGATTATTAGGGGTCATCTTTACTGCGTGGCCGTTCGATTCACCTGAGTGGTTCTGGTCTGAGTCGCTTCTGGAACTCTTGGAGGAAAGTGCGGTGGAGTTCCTGGAGTCTTGACTCGTTGACTGCGATTCAGCGAAGCCCAATTCAGCTAATTAAGTGGGGTTCCTGGAGTCTTGACTCGTTGACTGCGATTCCGCGAGGCCTAATTCAGCTAATTCCCTGGGTCTCCTCCAGGGTGGTACACGTGTGGTGTTTTCCTCCGTGGGAGAATAGAAGCCTGAAGGGGAACCCCCATTTGTATTGTATGCGGTGTTTCATTAGTATATCAAGGCATGGGCGCAGAGATCTCCTTTTGCTGATGGTTGATGGGGTGAATAACTGATATTCGTGGCTTTGGAACACAAGTGGGCCCTGTTGCGCCTTGGTTCTGGCAGCCGTTGCTGGGCTTCTTTGGTGCGGTAAAAGTGAAGCTTTACCAGGACATTTCGGGGATGCTGATGGTGGATGGGGCCAGATCAGCGAATAATTGATATTCGTGGCTTTGGAACACAAGTGGGCCCTGTTGCGCCTTGGTTCTGGCAGCCGTTGCTGGGCTTCTTTGGTGCGGTAAAAGTGAAGCTTTACCAGGACATAATTTGCGTTGGGTCTCCTCCAGGGTGGTACAGGTGTGGTGTTTTCCTCCGTGGGAGAATAGAAGCCTGAAGGGGAACCCCCATTTGTATTGTATGCGGTGTTTCATTAGTATATCAAGGCATGGGCGCAGAGATCTCCTTTTTGCTGATGGTGGATGGGGCCAGATCAGCGAATAATTGATATTCGTGGCTTTGGAACACAAGTGGACCCTGTTGCGCCTTGGTTCTGGCTGCCGCTGCTAGGGCTTCTTTGGTATGGTAAAAGTGAAGCTTTACCAGGATATCTCAGGGAGGGCCGTCAGGACGCCTACGGTTCAAGGTTCTGTGGGCCCGCTCTATCTCAAGTCTTTCCAGAGGGATGTCAGGGGCCAGTTCCTGAAAGAGCGCCGTAGATGTGGAATATAGGTCCACTATGTGTTCTGGTAGTCCCCGAATACGGAGATTGGAGCGACCGATTCTCTAAGTCCTCAAGTTTGGACAATAATTGTGTATTCTCCTCACGAAGGGATTCCATATCCCCTGTAACCATTGAGAAATCTGTTTTAAGATCGTCGCATCTATCCTCTAAGGCTGCTGTGTGGTGGCCTATTTCTCTGATTTCTTTCAGCAGCTTGTCTGTTATTTGCTTAGACGTGGATTGCAGAGCTTTCTGCAGCATTGCGTCAAATCTCTGTAGGAGGCCTGTCTGGGAACTTTTGCGGGATCGATCTCCCTCCTGACTGTCTACATCCCCCTCGTCCATGTCACTGCTGGACTCTGCGGCTGTGCGGGCCGTTACCTCGTGTTGCCGTGCTGCAGGCGCCATCTTGGCCGAGGCCCGGGCCATCGCCTCAGCGATGGGTTGTTGTTTCTTGCCCTTCTGCAGGTTCTTCGGTGCCGAGGATGCCATGATCCTATGCTGTGGGGGTTCCGGTGTCGTTCTGCGGTAAGGGGATCGTTGCAGCGGCGAAACCTCCGGGCTATTGACTGGTTTGCCTGGTAGAGCTGCGGAGCCGTCTCAGAATGCGTCCTCCATCGGCAGCTGCGCGCATGCGCCCCTTTTTTTTTTTAAGATCCCCCCCAGTCTCAATTTACGAGAACTGGAGTGGATCCTCAGCCTGGGGTCCAGTGTTGGCTGCTCTGCTGTGACGGAGCTCCATTCATATGTCCATTGCTGGTACAGTGTAGAGGTGTTGGGAGCCAGAATGTGATGTTGCCCGTGTGCCCTGTAGAGGTCCAGGCACCGGGCAGCATATTTTGAATGCTGCCTGGTGCGAGAACTGACAGTGCTGTGCTGGTAAGAGGCTGAGGAGACTCTTACCTGGAAAAGGTGGAAGCCACGCGGTGACCCACTGAACACGGGGTTGCAACAGACTTTTGGGTCACGACCCGCCAGCTGAGAACCAAGGGTCTAGACTATTTCTGCAGTAGAATGTATTTAGGGTCTAATTACACTAGCCTGTTAACATGAACCTTTTCCAAAATCCCCGGTTGATTGACTGACTGTATGGACAACACATTCCTTCAAACTACTCCTTTTGATAATTTGAGGCTTATATGTTCCATACAATTTGTATTCATAGTGTGAGTCACAATGTTTGCTGCCTCTGATAACATTAAAGGATTCTAATAAAGTGGCTGGGTGCCATAGACACTTAACATCAATATATTGTCTGATTCCACAAGGAACAAACTGTCACAATTCAACCTGTACCTGTCGAGTGTTCCACCAATGTGTCATAATTGGTAGGGAAGCCCAAGGCAGATAAATGACTGTGTTAGCCAGCTAGTTCTACATTGACCATTCTCTTTTGTTTGCTGTGGATTATGGCTACTTTAAAAGTAATCATTGTTAGGAAAGAACAATAATAAATGTTCACTATAGCCCTCTAAATGACCCTCAATGCCAGGTCCTTTCTCACTTATTTATTTTCAGTCTCTGCTTTGACATCAGTTTATGAGATGCAGGGCTGTACACACCCCATTGTCTTCATGTTCAGAGTTTAAATTTAGCTTTTTAGTCATGGTATGTTGGTAGTGTAGGATATTGCATTTTAGAGTGTTGTAATTGTGAAGGATTACTTATGAAAGGTGTATGTTTGACTGTTTGGCCCCATTCACACTTAAGCGTAGCCAGGTAATTTAGAGGCTCTTTTTGGTGCATTTGTATGTGCGTTTTATATGTGTTTTATGCTCAACTTATGTACTTCTAAATGGTAGTGCCTGAAAAACACGTGTAATCAAACGGTGCTCCCATTAAAGTGTAAAGGGATCAAAAACTCACACTGCTCTAAAAGAGGCTCATGTACTTTATCAGGCGTCACTTGACAGGCTACAAGTAACAGAACGCCTGGATGTGAACAAGGGGCCATTGAAAACAATAGGATTCCTCTTGTTGAGCGTTTTCACTCTTAGGAGAAGTTGCTACAAAACACTGAGGTGCTTCAAAAAAGCTAAATAAGAGTGAAATAGAGATCATTAATGGGCGATCCTGCATTGTTTAATTTATTGAATCATTAATATTAAAGTGTACTGTATGTCAAACCAAAAACTAGGGCTGCAACAACTAATCGACATAATCGATTATTGAAAAAGTTGTCAACTTTTTCAATAATCGATTAATCGGCTTCCGATTGGTTGGCCCTGTTCACGGCTCCACACACGCTGCACGCCACACCTCCTCCCCACCTCACGCTCGCCGCTGCCAGGCCCGCCCGCATCCACACCTCCTCCCGCTCAGTGCTCGCCCAAATCCACGATCGGCACAGGTGCGCGGGGAGAAGAAGTAAGGAGGAGCAGGCGTGAGGGAATGACAATAGGCCCGATCTCAGAAACAAGTTGCTGGAAGACTGCTCAGGTAAGCCTGCACTTTCCCACACATGGTGCTCTATAATGTATTGCTGGGATTTGTATTCCTCTATACCTGATGGTACATTGTGATGTTTATTAGATCAGCTATAGAGGAATACAAATCCCAGCAATACATTGTACACTGTATGTATAATGTATTGCTGGGATTTGTTGTATTCCTTTGTAGCTGGTGGTATTCTGCATTGCGCTGTATGGAGGACTACAAATCCAGCAATAATACATTATACAGCGCAATGCAGAATACCACTAGCTATAGAGGACTACAAATCCCAGCAATAATACATTATACAGTGGTGCAATGCCGAATACCACTAGCTATAGAGGACTACAACACCCAGCAATAGTACATTATACAGCACAATGCAGAATACTACCAGATATAATGTACTATTGCTGGGATTTGTAGTCCTTAATAGGCGGTGCCATTCTACATTAATTGCTGTATAATTTTACACTTTCCATTTCACTATATTGCACACCACACTTTTTTTTTCCTTTTCTTTACTTCCACCGCTCCAAGCTTGCTCCTGTGATGGACTACAATCTCAATACAAACTAGTAGTCCATCACTGGAGCCATTTTTTTAAATGTATTTAATTTTTTTATCCGATTAATCAAACTTAATAATCGTCCAACTAATCGATTTTGAAAATAATCGTTAGCTGCAGCTCTACCAAAAACTCTTTATTTGTTTTATATAGAGTGGGAAAGGATTCGGACCCTGATTTCTACTGCTACCAGCGGATTGGTAAAGCAATTTTCCCCCGGCTTCCTGTCCCGCTATCAACAATTTTACCAGGCAGGAAGTGAGGGAAAATCTGCAACAGGGACAGAAATAAAAATCTGACAGGACTTATGGCCGTTCCCTACTTTAGTAGAAAAATAACCAATTTCTGTCTGTGTTGCTGTTTGAATGATGTTCTCACTTCCTGCCTGATAAGATATTGTCAGCAGGACAGGGAGGTGAGGGGAAAATCTCCCTCCCAGAGCCTCAAATAGCAGTAAAAACCCATTAGGGGTTCTAACCCCTACACGGTCTATCTAAAAGTAAAAAATACATTTTTGGCTTGACATACATTGTAAGTCAAGTCACAGCTGGTTCATCAAATATTACTTTATATATGCATACCCTTCATATTCAGCATTCTGCACATTGTTTGATATGCTTTTTTTTATTGCTTTCTAAAGTACATCAAATCAAGTAAATCATTTTCTAGACCAATTTCATTAACGGTGTCGCATATATCCCAGTTAAGAGTTGATGCACAGGTAATTATTTTAGGTATCTTCTGTTTTGTGCTGTGTACAGGGAAAGGAGAACATTCTAATCTGCTTACCAGTTTCTTCTTCTGGAAAATAAACAAAACCGCAGGAGAAGAACAAAATGGTAAGCCAATTTAGAATTTTCTCTTTTTAATATAAAAATATTTATTTGAAAGCGTAAACCATCGGTATTTTTATATGCTTGACACATGCAGTGGTCGGAGATAGTCTTTGGGTAAGAAAGTGTAACTGTGAAGAATGACTGATTTACTGAATGAATAATATAAGTAGCGTGTAATATACTGTATATATGTGTGATGTTGACATTTGATTCAATGCATAATGTGATCACTTTAACAGGGTAATGTCTTAATTAATCTACAAAAAAAAAAGAATGGCTCAATACATTTTCTAAACTTGAACATATTTGGACTGCAAACCATCAACTGTGTGAAATGAATATGGAGAAAGCCTCTTTAAAGTTTGGAACCTAAGGCTCCTGCCTAATCTGAAGCTGAAATGTGTGCTAACACTTTATTGGGGCATTAGCTAGGTACCAATAAAGTACTTTGAAGGATGTGTGCCCCACTGGTAGCTGTTTCTTTCTTGAAACATTTTACTTACATGCCGCCTCTGCCAGTGATGTCATCACCATGAAACTGACAGTCAGGGCTGGAGCACACAGTGGTTCACTCGCTCTGCAGCTCCTTCATTTATAAAATGCTTTGTATTCTTTTCAAAGGATACAAAGGGGGTGGGGGGGGATTTTAGGGGAA